CAAGTGCCTTACTAGTAGTAACAAGAAGCTTCTAGGAAACAAGAAGCACTAGTAACAAGAAGCTACAAGAAGCTACTAGTAAGTTCTTATTGTAGCTTTGGAGCGTGGCGCCCAGGGACCACACATCTGTGCCTTGGTGCGAAAGCCGCATGCCTTGTTGCTGCCCTGCTTGAAAGCCCGTACTTCTTCCGTGCTGACCAGCGTTTCCCAGGTGGTTCACTCAATTTGCCAGGCGGTTCACTGGAGGTTTTGGGTGATTCACTTGGTTCACAGGAGAATTCAACTAGTCTGGCTCTCGAACCTCAATCCCGCAAAGAGTGGACTCTGTCCAACGGACGGTCTTTCCTGAGGATGCCATGGAAAACGAATGCTCAATCTTGACAATACTTGGAAAATTACTATTTGTGAAGACTAAGGTTTATCACTCACCAAAAACCACTGTAGGTGAGCCACTGAAGCAATGCCCTGCTGACGCTGCCATCTCTGGCGACATATAGGGCATGGTTCCAAAACGCCCTGGCTGCATCACTCAAAATGTTGTCAGCAACTATTGGTGATTGGCTGGGGCTATGTTTGGTGATTGGGGGAACTGTGCACACAAAAAGTAAATAGCAAAAACGTCAGCCCCGGAGTCTGCGGAGCTGGAGAGTCCAAAACTCATCAAACATGTCTGGGTGCATGCAATGTTTCTTGGGAATGCCTGGCCGCAACGAGCTGTTTCCTCAACCTAGGGGTTGTCGGTGAGGAACCATTGACATGCCGAAGGCGGTGCAGCATGTTGAGATCGGAGATTTAGACAATCCAACAGCAAAGTAGGCTACACCCCAACGGGTTCCAACATGTTCCCCCCCCCCCACCACAAAAAAAAAAAAAAAAACACCAAGCCTGGCAAATTCTGCGACTTTGAAGCCGCCACAGACAGTCCAAAGTCGCACAACTTCAATGTTCGCCGCTCCTCATCTCCAAAAAGCAAGTTGTCCTTAGCAGCGGGAAACACCAGCAATGCAAAGCCAAGCATCAAAACGCAACACGGAATGCCACATCTTGTACTTCGCGATAATCCTGTTTGTTCAGAAGACTGTGTATCCCACATATTGATATTGTTGCCACAATGTGTGTTACACCTTCTGGATTCCCGAGAGGCGCGAGATTCACCAAGTGTCAGGTTTGATATCGCGATGAATTATGCCCTTCTTGTGGACATGGGCTAGCGCCTTGGCCATATCCTTAGCCCACATGCCCAGGATTTAACGAAACCAATTGATTGCGTCTTGTATCCGCTCCAACTAATTCAAGGCCTGCTGCTCGCGAAACGGCATAACCCTTTGACAGAACTAGTTAGGGGCATTGCGCCCAGAACATCCTCGAAGTCACATGTTTGCACCAGCGCAAGGCCAAGCAGCGGGCCTATGTTGCAAGGTGACATGCATGAAAACCGCTGGGATGATTCCTTCAACCGCGCAGCTGCAAATTTTGTCTGATTCTTTCGATAGTTCCCCTTTCTGCAGTTCTCTGGCTGTTTTCTGCTGCCGGCTGTTTTCAACAATTGGCCCCTCAGCAACCTCCAACTCTCCGACAAACACAAGATCAACACTGTGGATAACCCAAGGTGCCAAAGAACCCATCAATGGCTTTGCCAAATCAAAAAGCCAGAAGAACCCCGCATTAAACGCTAAGAGTCCCTTCTCTTCTCCTCCCCTGTCATGGAATTTAACATGTTGAGGTTACCAGTGCATGTCACATTCCCAAACCTTCACCTCAGCCCAAAGAAAAAAAATGTTTTCAGTTGTGTGGCAAGCAGCCCGCACCAGGCCACCAAAAATGTCATCCTCACACGTCAGAACGTAGTCAGCGGAATCCATTAAACTTGCTCCGCACCGCCTTGGTGTCCAGAGATCACCCCTTCTCGCGACCCGAGAAGCCGCGATGGACAGACAGAACGATTGCTGGCTGATCTGCTGCCAAAATTCTCCATTACAAAGTAGAAGCGTTGAGATGTCAGGTCCGAAAAGGTTTCCAGAAGCGCCACACAATGCTCATGCCCTCGGGAAATTGGTTCGGGTGAAGTGATCGACAACGTGGGTTGGCAACCTTACCGCGACCTTTGTCTTACGAAAAGTTGTCAGTTGTCGAGCAAAAACTTGAGAGAGGAGGGGGTGAACGAAAGGTAGCAGGGAATCAGGCGTAACCCTGGAAACAGTGGTGTTAATGGTGTTTACGGTGTTTTGTGGCCACTTTGAAGCGTACATAGCTTGAAACCATCCCAATATAGAGGGTTTTGTGGCAGGAAGGTGCAGAAGCCCGTGTAAGTACCGTCTCTTTGTGCCACTTTGAAGCCTCTAAGCACCGCAAAGCCCTTTCCGCCACAAAAAAACCTGCAAATAGCGTGGTTTGAGGCCACTCTTGAAGATAGGAGGAATTGAAAACACTAAAACACTGGCATTTACGGTGTTTTGTGGCCACTTTGAAGCGTACACAGCCCAAAACCATCGCAATTTACAGGGTTTGGTGCCGGGAAGGCGCACAAACCCGTGTAAATACCGTCGTTTTGTGCCATTTAGAAGCCTCCAAACGCCGAAAAAGCCCTTTCCGACAAAATTTTCCAGGTTTTTTGCAATGTTTCGACCATTTTTGAAGCCTAGACACTTCAAAAACCATCGGTTTTTACGATGTTTTTGGCCGGACAGCCACAGAAAACCCTGTAAATTGCGTGGTTTGAGGCCACTCTTGCAGACTGGACAAGCTGAAAACACTTGTATTTTTCAGTGTTTTGTAGCTGTTGACAAAGCCCCGCGCCAGGGTGGAGTTGAAAGGGGGGGGGGGGGCCCCCCCCCCCGGCCCTTAAAAGTAAAAATGTCGGAGGCGATTTCTCAGTGAGATGGGTGTCCACTCTGGTTATAATTCATTTCTGCTAAAGCAAAAGGAAAACTCAGGTAGCGTAACCGCTACCTTTCGTGATCAGGAAAAATGCGTGGAAGAACTCGATATTTCTGTGTGCATGCCTTGGCTGCTCAAGAACATGCCTTCTCAGGGACAACAAATATTAAATATTATTGTCAACCAGCCAGGCCACGTCCAACACGATGCATGATGTGCTCTTCCTGCCGCGCTTCTTCGACAGTCTTCTCATCTAACGTTCCTGAGGAGACTAGGAAGGTGAAGTAATGTGGGCCTACATGGGTTACTCATTAATTTCCAACAAACTTTCTGATAAAGGTCAGCTGCAACACACAAGGTTTCAGTGAAAAGGTCAGCTGCAGCCGGCAACACAACTACCAAGGCACCATCTTCTGAGCCCAAATGAACCACCTGAGGTCTCCAAATTGCAGCTAGAGCTTGTGAGCCCTTGCACCACAAAAACTGCTGAGCTTCCCAGTTGCGGAAACGACACTTCACCACGTGCGGTGCCACCTACATCCATTTCATGGACACAGCTCACAAAACCCAATCTCCGACAGGACACTTTCACAGCGCAATCCTGGCATGGAAGCGGCTGATGGAACAACATGTTGGGACCCAGCCAAGATCAAGAAGTATCCATTTTGCTAACGCACTGTCACACTGTTTTGGTCTACCAGAGCTTTCAGTGAAGGTCGGGGGGCCCATCCCGAGTCATGCCAAAGCCACGTCATATCAACAAATTAGAAACACGTGGATGGGATGATGGAGGTGAAGGACGCGTTCACAATCACATGTTTGCCTTTATGAACTAGGACAGTCACACTGGCATCAAAACAGTGTCCGGGACGATTTCCCGCGCCACAAACCGCCAACAAACAACAACAACAAAACCCAAAACAACACTGACCAGCTCGCCTTGCCGTTTCTCAGCGACACCGCTTTGCACACTTTGCCGAAGGTGCCTGTCAGAATCGCAAACGTAAAAAACGTTATGTAATCAACAAACACCTGGTTGCCCTCTGTTCAAAACGGGGCTTTGGCCATAGCTATAGGATCTGGGCAACACAGGGCAACACTGTCCAGAAAGGCTGGGCGAAGTTGAATGGTTTTATTTATATACGTGCAAAACCAGTTGTTGCGCCCCACTCGCAAGAACATTGACAGTACCACTGGTACTACTCATTGTTTGTTTGCCCCATGTCCGAGGCTGCCTTTGCCCAAAGATTCTGAAGTCATCTGGTAGTTCAGCTGGAAAGACCCGGATGCTTCACAATAAGATCTTGCCTCGGGTGCATCATCCAAACGGCGATGGCACTTGTCGAATTCGTTGATACCCGAAACTTCTGCTGTAGAATCTCGAACAAAATTGTTGTGCCCCGCCTTTGTCACCTCATTCTTCATTGAAAAGAACATCCAGGCGCCTAGTTCCAAGCACGCGGAACCAACACCAAAAGCCACAAAACCGAACAAAAGAGCCGTTTAAGAACCAAACCTGGGAGACAGCTTCCAAAAAAACAGTGCCGGTCCAAATTCGGAGGAGCCAAAACGGCTGGCCAAATCTTGCCATAATTATGTCAACAGGTGTTAGGTGTCACGGTCAGGTAGCGTCAACATGCGAATGTTCTGGTGTCTGGATGGGCTGGTTGACCTGATGATCTGTTTTCTGAAAAAATCTGGACGATCAAACAAGGATCCAAAACAAATCTCTCAGAGGACCCTTCCAAAAACAAACGGCCATGCAAGTTTCAACGGCATTTGCAAGAATAATAGCTCGCCCAATGGCCACAAGAAGTGCGGCAATCGGGCGGCAGCCTGGTGGCAGCTGGAGCAGCTGCACTGCACTTCCAAACTGTTGTTTTTTCACGTTGGACACTGCCTTCTGCACTCGTGAGGCGTTTTCTCATGAACATTTGCTGTGCTGGCCAAGTCCATCATCGTGTGACCCACCAGAGCTGGGTGTTAGGATGTGTTAAGAACGTTTTCTCACTTTTGATTTTGATGGAAACTTTTGCATAGTCACGTCGACCCCATTCATTCCATGACATGATGTAGCCGAACGCCATGTTTGTGTGTGGGTCCGAGGGTTGCAGCCAAATCAGTCTCCAGGAACTCCTTTCCAAAAGGTTCTCAAGAAAAATACCTGCATCCATCAGTTTCCTTGTTCGCCTCGTTTCTTCCATGGAAAATGGCCTCAAAGCCCTCCCCAATCCACATTTTGGAGCATTGAAAGCTCGTTTCTGCTCCGATCGCTCGAGATGTTTCCGGCGCCCCCCATTCGCATCCAATGGCGCAGCAGTATTTGCAGCATCCACGCTCATCTTTGCTCGGTTGTTGCACAAGCAGCAAGCACCAACCTAGCCCTGTCCATCTCACCAGCCAAAAAAAAAAACAAGGAACCATCTTATCAACACACACCTTCCCAACAAAAACCGTGCAGCCACCATGGCACGAATGTTTTTGGGTGAAAACCATCATGTGTTGAGCTCTCCGGCCGCGACTGTTTTTTCAATCAACTTCAGTTTTTCTGACCCCACATCCGCACACACAGAACCAAAGGTTTCCACGAGATTCATCATGGGAATTTTCGGTCGTGGTTCCTTTGTTCCACGATGACCTCCACGCCAAGGTGTCACAGGAAACCTCTCACATCGCAGCGTTCTTGCCAATCTCGTCATTGTCCAGCTTGGGTTGGCCGAACCCATCCCAAGTTTGCATTTGATTTGAGCCAACGGCGTCTCCACAGGTCCTTGTGCATCCACCAACTCCTCAAGGATGAGGCGCCTGTCAATTCATATCCTTGAGGTGGGCCTGGTCTTCCTCAAAACCAGATTTGCCCGTCAGGATGAAGGTCACATCCTAGATTGCCCGCTGCACTTTATCAACTGGAAGTGCTGGAGCCTCCATTTTCATCGCGCCGTTGTCACGTTCTATGACGTTACTCTTCTCGCCTGCGCCTGTTCGTTGCTGTTGCCACTAAAAACTGGCTCCTCCACGGTTGACTTCTGGGCGCTCGCCTGCACCGCGCTATCTTTCCCAGACGCAGGCCAAGCAAAAAGCCAAGCCCAGCACCGCCGCAAGCCACCACCGCAATGAAAAGAAAAACAAGTACGCCAAAGAACTTTGGTGGCAGCACACTCCAGCGGCATTCTGAAGCTCCAAAGCGCGCGGCCACACATGTGGCAAAGGCAACCGGCAGCAGCGCTCGAGCTCCAAAACGCACACGGCCACACATCTGGCAGCGGCACCCAGTAGCGGCAGCAGCAAGCAAAGCGCACATGGCCACGCGTCTGGCAGCGGCACCCTGCAGCGGCAGCAGCACCCAATCTCCAAAGCGTCACACGGCCACATCTGGCACCGGCACCGCGCCCACGCTTTGGACATATGGCCACACCTCAGCAGGCCAGGCCACGTACACGCCATGTCTGCTAGTGCGCAAGCGGGAAAGTCATGTTGCTGCCCTGCCGTGGTGGAGGCAAAGGCATGCTCACAGGCACCGCCGTTGTCATTGGTCAGAGTCACAAACCATCTCCGGCCAGGCTGACCGTTGGCCAAAACCAACTCTCAAAAACTCACCTGCCGTAAACAGGGCATGCGCGAGAGGATGCCGTGGCGGCTTGAACCGTGTGAAATAGCACGCGAGCCAAAACACTGTTTGGCAGTCCTGAAAAAATCGCAAAACACTGTTTGGCAGTCCTGAAAAAATCGCGGCCTAAAATTCTAGTCCAGACAGTCAAGACTTTGAGCGGTCAGGGCGGCAAGCATGAAAAGGAAGCGGCGGTCAAAGGAAAAGACCGGCTGCCAGCATGAAAAGGAAGCGGCGGTCAAAGGAAAAGACCTTCTTTTATGGGAAGCGGCGGTCAAAGGAAAAGACCTTCGTTTGGGAGGCCCATGGGGTCCCCTAATTAAGTATTATAGCGCCCCGGGTTGCGGCGGCCTCCGTGGCCTCCAACAGCGTGGAGAGGGTGGAAGGATGGGGCCTCCGTCGCGGGAGAGCGACATGGAGAGAGAGGCTGGAAGGATGTGCCTCCGTGACACGAGTGTCAAGCCAAAGAAGCCATATTTTGCGGCTTCGAGACCTAGGTGCAAGTGTTCGAGACCTGAACGAAGCAGCAAAAACTTGCAACATGAGCTGCATCAACTGCAACTCAACCAGTCTCCTGCCCAAGCAAGCGGGGCCGGCGGTCTGGTGTGAGGGGAAGGAATGAACATCTGTGAGATTGAAAAAGGGGCTGGTTGATATTCCATGGTAATCCCAGCCACGGCCTGCAGTCAGAATTGAAACGGTTTCTTGGTTTCACGAATGGAATTCTGTTCCAATCAAGTTGAGGATCTGCTGCTTTGCATACAGAGGTCAGGTCTGGGTCCAGCTGCCTTGGCAACGTGGAATCTT